TATGTTATGTACATATATACATATCTAAATATTTTTTCAGTGAGCAGTAGGAACGAAGCAAAACTTGTTGGCAATTACAGTTCGAAAAATAATGAGCACATACAATGTATATTATTGATGCTACACATCATATTCAGCATCTAAATTGGACACATTTGCTTTTCAATCCTACCATAGTTGACAGACTTTTTGAGTTTAAGCTAAGGAAGTATTTATTGTGCTAGTTACATGTTTCATGTTTTCTTGACGTTTCAGGACTTCCAGAGTATACCTGTCTGTTGTTTGCCGTCTGTGTCGAGTTTTTAATAAACAGATAATATCAGAAACTATCAGACAATTGTTCTCAAAATTTATAATAATCATGTTAGAAATATCGGATGAATGGAAAGTGCAAACCAAAATTTGTCTAATTATCTCCATCCTCATATCCACTAACAATATGATGACGTCACCTCAAAATTTTGCATGGTAAATATTATTTAAATTTTATAAAATAATATGCTGCTGTAGGTACTTGTGGTTTATGTATCCGCCTTGAGTTTTTATGGTACGAACCTTCAGATTTTCGTAAAGAAGTCAAAATTGTATGATGTTCAGCAACCACATTGGGCTGAGATGGATAAACGACTGCATGTAATGCCAATGTCGCGAGTTCGCTCCCCTCATGGACCACTTTTTACTTCTCAAGGCATCTTTTGTGTTTTCTGGACATTTTATGACCTCTAGCGTACGATACAATAAGACTTCTGCGGTCTGTATCTCGACTGGAGCAGTAGGTGACAAATTTTAGATGTAAGTGTGTTATGAATATCGTGTAGATGATAAAACGCTAACCAAAATTTATGTAACCATCTCCATCAATGCTCACATGACGTCAGTTCAATATTTTGTACGTTAAACAATATTTAATTTTTATAAAATAATATACTCCTAATACATTTAGGATTATAAATCCGCCTTGATTTTTAACTATAATTAGTTTACAAAAATGTTGCAATATTTGCGGCGTGTGTTTCATGCAATCAGTATCTCGTACATAAGAGACAAGTGGGTCGTAGTCATGACCTGAAACGTTGAATTTGAGCAACTGGAGTTCTGCGCACAATAGTTCCCGACTTCGCGGACATTTTTCTGAATCTTCGACTTCAGGTGCGAAGAAAGTTCTGTCTAAATAACTTTAGTCTTTTTTACTTCCCGAGCGTAGGCCAAGGAAGTATAGTAATTGAGTCCATCGGACGAATGGCTATTTTTATATTTTCTCGACGTTTCATGACCCACAGTACGAAAAAAGTAATCTCCTTTCCGTCTGTTTGTTTGTATGGTGTCTGTATCCACTTTTGTTAGACATGTAATCTCCAAAACTGCTGGATCGATTGTTGTCAAATTTTGTATGTATATTAGAATTATCATGTGGATGGTTAAACGCTAACCAAAATTTTGCTAATCATCCCCACCAACAATTTGATGACGTCATTTCAAATATTCTATGTTTATTTGATTTAACTGTTTAACAACAATATACTGTATGTCTGGTGTACGAACACTCTTTCAATTTTTTTCCCTAACCATCCAAATTTTCACAAAAACATATGTACAATACATATAATAACAGTTTACCATCAGCGTAAGTTATCCCGATCGTGGTCTAGTGGATAAAAGTTCGGAACGCGGACCGGAGGTCACGAGTCGATGCCAAACTTGGCCTGACGTTTTTTTTATCGTTTTCTCTCGCGTTGTGTATTATCTATGTTTATGACGTCATAACAAAATTTTTATTGATCAATTTAAGAACGAGGTGAGAAAACGCCCGTCTTTATTTAATAAAAATTATAATAATACTATTCAGAACATTATGTTCAACTGTCACTGAATCCAAAATTTTAGTCCGCTGTTTTGAGGCGACAAAGTACTTCAGGGGTGAGGGAAATTCTATCTAACAACATGAGGCCAGTTTCTGTGGCACGTTTGTCCATCACGTTTTACTAGTGTTAAAATATTATGCGCTCTTTATTCAGATATAAAAAAAAATGTTTTATCTTGGATGCCTAGATTTTTGAAAAAAAAAAAAAATCAAAATTATGACCTTAGAAACTAACAAACTGTCTGCTCTGAAATCTCGCAAAGGCTTTAAAGGTTATTAGAGGCATGGTGAATCGTTAATCAAAATTTATTTAATTGAAGACGTCATTTCAAAATTTTCCCGAGTAAATGATATCTAAAATGTGCAAAATATTTGGGTCTATACTTGTTGTCCAGTCGCTTTGTCCAAAAAATTGTTAATTATACAATGCATCTTTTTAAAAGTGGCCGTAGGGATTTCCATGTTAAATTTTATACGGTATGTTAACTTATATTTGCATGAGTAAATATTCAGAGTTGAAATTTTTGCTGGATGTAATTTGGGTTATCTTTGTCGATTTTATTAAAGGCTATGCTTTAAAATAAAGGATATTCCTAAAACAAATATTTGGGCATTTTTGTCGGTAATATTGTAGGCAACCATGTAAAAACAGATATCTACCTGAGGTTTCTAAAATTTGATTGTTTGTTCGATTACTGGTTTTTACTGAACCAAATTCGTAAACATGCACAAGAAAAATTGGAAATTGTCATGTAGGTACATCAAAGAGGTATCGACAAGATACATTGCGCAAAATTTTGCTGCAGGTCTTGTTCTGATCGTGGACATCAAAAACGCAATTTCAGTAACGGTTTTCTTCATTTATGTTTGAATTCCATCAGTTTGTTTCTTTTCTAAAAATTGGAATAAAGGTGTTTAATGATTAAATTGAGGAAAAAAAAGCGCTGTCAAAAATGACAAGTCAAAATGATAAGTCAAAACTATTCTATGATGGACCTAAACTTTTTAAACAAAATAATTTTTACTTTTTAAAGTACAAATTAACAATTTACTGCAAAAAATGGTAGTTCAATTAAAGTGGATTCCTAAAACCATTTCCATCGCAAACATCATCTCTGGGTTTTCACCCTAACAAAAGTTAACATGGGGTCTAAAGTTTAGCATGGAAATTCCTATGGCCATTTTTAAAAAGATGCACTATATTATTATTATTTTTATGGAAACTCACTTGAAATATATGCACAGCATGCTTTTTCTTATATGGTAATAGGATCCATCCAGCGAATGGCTACTTTGATGTTTTTTTTTTTACATTTCATGGCCGCCAACGTACTAGACCGATTGTCATAAATTTGTGTGTCAAGATTATCGTATGATGATGGTTAAAAGCTATAACTAACAAAAATAAATTAAGATGTTCTACTCTGTTGCATGTCAGGATTATCACAAAATTTACACTGTGTGGACAAAAATTTCCACACTAAAGACTTGTTTCAAAATGCATGAAAATATTGATACCACCAAGTACGATGTAGGTGTTACAATAAGTTTTTTAACTGAAAATTATGCTTTCCGTAAATACAGAAAATTTTTATGTTTCTGAAGCGGAAATCTGAGTGCTATAAACCCAAAAAATCAAATGTACAAACTATACAGAGTACATAACTAAATTTCTCCTAGAAGCTCTAGAGGGCCATTTTTTGGTAAGAAAATTTATTTCAATATTCGCAATTTTTGGTGCGTCGTCGGGAGGAGCTTGTTTATTGATAGTATTAAAAAAACTCACCGATTTATAATTGTTACATTGGAGAGCACAAAAAGAAGTCTGACGTCTTTCTGAAAGTTTGCGACCATGGAAAACGATACTCCCTTCAAAGGCTGCACTTTATATAAAAAATATACAACATCGGCTCATGTCCAAAACCGATGTATTTTTATTGACAACAGGAAGGATAAATGCAGACGGCAGCCTGTAGAAATTTATAAAATTAGAAAAATTTGAAAGTTACATTACGGTCTCTGCTTTAGAACATCTTCCACGACCATTATTTTGAATAATATAGTCCTCGATTTGACATCATCCTTGTTGTCTCATTGTTGGAATTACACCACTTCTTTGCATTATTGTCGCACCAATAAAGAAATATAACAAATTATGTTTTAACTGAGGAAGAGAAAAACTTCATTCCAACTAAGTACTTTGGAATATTTTGTTCTACAAAATAATCAGGTCTGTATTTTTTTACGTGACATTCGTTACATGCTTTGTTTTTTTTTCAAATTTTTCTTATGTATGTTCGGAGTCAAAAAACGTCCCGTTACGGATTTGATATGGTATTTGAGCCAAATTGAACCTAAACTTTTTTACTGTGTAAACGCATAGTTTTAGTCTCTTAACAGGAAGTGTAATTTAATGTGCTGCTTCAGAAGTAAAATTACTTTCGTTATTTTTTTCTGTCATTGCTTTTATTTGTTTTTACATTTTTTGATTAGTGTTTATGAACATTATAAAAGTAGGCAGTTATTTAATTTAATAAAATTTAGTACACAAGAGTTTAAAAGAAAGCGTTTCGTTTGCTTAGAGCCCCCTAAATACTAAATATGAGACAAGGAAAGTTTTGCGTAATAATTTTACAGATGTTTATTGCTGTTACACAAGAGTTTTAATATAGCACACAAGGTTATCGTAATGGAAACTTCTTTTCTGACCTTTAACTCCTGAACGCACAGTCAACATCCTTGGATATTGCAAGAACTTACTTTGAAAATTGTGGATGATTTTCATCGATCATCTTAACGCCTATATGTTCCTGATTATCCAAAATTATTATTTAAAGTACGTTCCCTCGACGTCGTTCACGGAGTGAACGCTCGTAGAGCTCGCGAGAGCGATTAAGATGCGGAGAATAGGAAGTTCTGACATCGCGGAGCACGTGCCCATTACAAGTTTTATTTAGAGTCAGTCCTACCTATGTGTTATAATTCTAATTACATATCTTACATGTCCTAGACCCTCCCATGTAACGTCTTTTGATTTTCCCATTGGTTTATTGGTAAGACCTTGCGGTGCGTGATTGGCTAAAGCCGGCACCAAAATCGAAAAAGGCGCATGAGCGAAGGTACAGCGGCAAAACTCTCCGAGAAATGTTAGTGTTTCCCCGGTTTTTGGCGAGAGAACATATGACGGTCACAAGAAGAAAGACGCAAACACGAGGTTTGAAAGGGTGAGAACACGCGCGCGTGATCTTGACAGAGAAAATTTTTGTGAGTCGACGATCTACCGGTATGGTTAACAGGAAGTCAAAGTGTCAAAAACTTTTTGTTTTTCTCAGTATTTTATACTTCGCCCAGGCGGCTTCTTCCACGGGAGCCACTTCTAATGGTGAGTCTAATACTTTTACCAGAGCAAAGCGTCTCCTACAGAATCTCATCTTGGCGTAGCTGACGAGCTTTGAGGGATGTCTAATTTCATTTATTAATCTTTGAGGTAGTTCTTTGAGCTGCATTTTTATTAAATTAGGAATATACGACTCACATTTGAAATGTTTATTTCGTTTCATTCTTATTTTCCAATTAGAAATCTCGACGATTCTTATACAAGTATTCGGTAATGAATACATTTTTCATTCGATGCAATCAAACAGTAAATAGTAGGAATTTAATTAAAAATTATGCAGCTATAGTACCAAATCTACTAATTTACAGACGCCAAATAATTAACAAACATCCTTCTTAATTTCGTCAAGGTTAGCTGAAAAGTAGGCAAAAGGCGTTTGCCGAATATGTGACACACGTGACCAAGCAAAATCGTGAGATGAATCTCTATGAAGTACACAAAACAGAAATTAAATTCTTGTTATTCTATACATAAATCTGTTAAAAAAGTATCTAATCCTAACTATAATAATACCACTTTTGATATCTCAGATTTTGTAATCTGCTTCTAGAGATAAAATACAGATTTTTTTTATTATAATATGACAAAATCTTAACTGTGTAGCACTGACATGTTGACTCACATTTTAATAACACGAAAATTTTGCGATATATGTACGTATTTTTCAAACTGAAGTGCAGTATTTCCATATCATGTGGCTGCAGTGTACTTATTGTCAGCTCTCAATAATACAGTATTAAAAAAAATGGACGTATATAGACATGTAATTCAAAAAATATATTTAAAAAATGCATATAACACATTAGGAAATAGCAGCATATTTTTAGAATTTTAAAACTAATATTTAACAAATTAGAACGGTGTCTTTAGACGTAAGTGTGCTGTTGTTTATAAACTTAAGTTTATGATACCTGTTGCATAGTTTTGTAGTTTTACAATCATTTATTACATTTCATCACTAGGACTTGTTCATTATTTTGAGTCGTTATTTTATCTCTCTAGATACACAGTGTGTGTCCCAATAAAGGTGAAAATGAACCTATTTTTGTAGCTTATAAAAATGTCTTGACACGTCATTCTAATACTACCTGCTAACAATATGTACAGCGTATTCCGTTTAAAAGTTGTAGCTACATTCAAGTTACATTGGTTTAAATAGGTACCTACCAGAATATCTCCCATAGTTTTAAATATTTGCATTGTTTTTTTGCTAAACGTGTTATAAAATACTTTGGTTTTCTCAAAAATAGTTTTAGAACAAATTTACATTTTTATGTAAAAAATGATCGTACCTAAAAGTTTGAAGTCTATTGTATAAAATTTTTCTTATGCCGTGGTTTAAGAAAAGTAAAAATTAAACGGTATTGTATGTTTATGTAGAACGATTCGATGTGCACGTTCTCATTTTCTCGTTTTTTACGAAGGAACAGCCTGTGGTTAATAATTAATTACTTAAAAAAATGTTTTAAAGAGGTTTTTTTCTGATAGGTACGCTGTTAGTTATATTCCAGATTTTTTTTGTAACTAATTTCATCTCTGACGCAAGAACAATATGTTTTTCAGAAGTATTTTCTTTCTAGGTTAAAAAATCTGTAAAATTACGAACTAATCATATCATACAATGTGTTCTCTATTAAGACCTTAGAGAAAAACACTCATTGAAGGCTATTTTGACAGAACTTCCCTCGCCTCTGAAATACATCCAGATTTTTTGAAAAATTATAAGATTTGTTTTTGCGAATTTTATTTTTTATGATAACCCTTATAGATGAAAATAAAGATATATATCTAATGTTTAAATAAAGGTAAAGAAGCCTGCTACGCGTTTGTTTCAAGTGAGTTTATCCATTACACAATTTTGTGATGACATCATCAATATTTTTGCAAGAACACATAGGTATATCAGTTTGGCTAGATGCGGTGTAATACCTACTTAAAATAATAGTACTGTATACCTAAATTTTCCAGAAAATGGAGTGGGTCGTTCTTGATTTAATCAATACAATAAATTGTCCCATTCATTAATTTTTTTGAGTCACGCTGTATAAGTAATTCTAAAAGCAATGAGTGCATTGATAACCACAACATATAGTCATAATACTTTGCATATTTCAGAGAGAATATATTCGGCCAAATTTTGAGATTACGTCAAAAGTTTGTGGGAAGGAATAAATGAATATATTTTCATTAACAATTTACCATGATTAGGATAAGCTTAAAACGTCTGCAAAGTTTCAGAGTATTCGGTTTTGTAGTTTCAGAGTTAAATTTCAAAAATTGGTATATAATTTTGTTTGTTTTTTTAAGTCTGAATATCAAGGGTGAAAACAACACGGGTTTACCACAAGTGCAGCAGTATCTTTTTTTATAAAAATAAAAACAAATTTACTATTGTAAATTTTGAAAATGACGTCATCAAATTGTCGATGGTAATGATTTGTCAAATTTTGGTTAGCGTTTTACCATCCACATGATATTTCTAATATACATACAAAACTTGACAACCATCGGTTCAGTAGTTTGGGAGATTATCTGTCTAACAAAAATCGGGACACACAGACACACAGACAGATAGACGAAAACGGGAGACCTACCTCTTCGTATTCTAGGATTCATGAAAGGTCGAGAAAACATAAAAGTAGAGAGTCGGCCGATGGACTCGATTACAATAATACCTCCTTAGCTCACGCTCAGGAGGTAAAAATGAAATCACATTTTATAAATTTTCAACTTTTATTACTTTAATCCGAGACAGTTAAAAAGGTTTAAAACAAATCTCTAAATAAACTAAATATATATTATTCACACAATAAATTAGGTACTCTATATTTGTGTATTTTTCTGTTGAGAACTAGATAGACACAATATTTTATAAATAAGCTACCAAAATGTATCTACACATTTTATGTAAACCTCAAACAACATTAACATATTCCAATTGAATCATTGGGACACCGGTACATATTTTTATTTTTTTTACGCTTCTAACCATAACCTTGATGTCGTTTCTAAGTATGTATTTTGCGTTACAGGTTAATTACTATGTCAGTGAGTAGTTAAATAACGCCGGTTCTGGCCCACAATTTGCCGGTAAATTTAAATTCATGTTTATACCTACATGTGTGTCAGGAAATTCAAATTTCGCATTCCGATTAATAATAGTTCCGGGAATAGGGCGCGACTTGAAAAAAAAAATCGGGTCATAAAATGGTTTGAAAACTACAACGGTCTTGTAGGCACACTCAAATTTTGTTATTACTTTTTCGATTTTTTCTTGTGAATTCACCATGTATGACGTTTTTTACTGCGTCGCTAAAAAACAAATAACCGCAATTTCTTTTGATGAAAATGTTCCACTCATTACTCCGTTCACCTTCGCTTACTTTTTGCAAAAATCTTAGTAACGCATTGTGCCCACGGGGTTTAATTTGATCGTAATAAAATTTTTTCCAGTTCTCCCTTGATTGTTTCAACAAAAAGCCATGTTAGAAGGTGAATTAATTTAATACAGTCGGTTAATGTGGAGAATTAGCTGACAGCTGAGACATAAAAACAAAATGAAAATTTAGTTAGCGCTGGAATTTACACATATTTGAGAGGGTGTAGATTTTTAGCGTGCAACCGCAATTTACGCAGATCGACACGGTGGCGGTAGGTTGGGTTATCTACATCTATTACACAGTTAATTTTGTATTAGCTTCCTTGATTCGCTAGTGAAATAAATTTGAAAGTAGTAAAAAAGTGGAATAAAATTGAGGGAAAGTGGGATTTTAGTAAAACACAAAACTGTACGTTAAAACAATTTGTTTTGCTTTGTCGAGTCGCTACGCAGCCGCAGAATATACAAAAACAAAATTTAATTGAATGAGAAAAGTGAAAGTATTGGTGCGATTTGATCACTCTATGTGGATACATCATGTTTAAAATTGAGTTAACACGTTTTCCATTAGTCCAGAATTTGCACACTTCATAAATACTTTTATCGTTAAATCCATCTAAATGAATCATTTTTCAGTTTTGCTTGATTATACAGAATAAATATTTGGCATAAAAGGTCTTTAAAAATTATACAACCTATACTGTTTCTCATTGTGAATGTTATGTGAAGTTTAGTATATCATATAAACATAAATTATTGTTATTCGTGTTTTTTTTAAATACGCGTAGGTACATGTATAAAAGGCATTTAATTTACTCTACACGCTTAAATTAGTTCTCATTTACCGTAAGTATGTCCAATCAACATGTTGTTACGACTGACGGTGTTTTGGCCTGGGTTCTTCAATAATACCCGAAATACCAAAACTTAACAACTTTGATTATAACGACTCTAATTAATACACCTCTTAACAATACACACTTCTCAACTCTCAACTCATGGGGTCTCTTGTTCTACTCGATGCTGCGCGACTGACTGTTTCTTCCGTCTACCAATTATTTATACAGCGGCTGTATTGCCGAGAATTCTCTAGATGTAGTAAGTTAAGTTGCATCCTGAATATTCCATTTTCGAACGTTTCATAGTCCAGAACGATCAGATAATCCAGTGTATGATTTGTGTCCCAAGTGCTTCATACTATTCTCTAAGTAAAAACTTTCATGTCATATTGCTTTGTCCTTAGCTTTGGGCGTTTTAATCCGAAAAAAGTTTTTAAAGAAGTACCCCCTTTCTCATATACAGGTTCTTTTGTGAAATGAGTTCTAATTTATTTATGTATATAATATTGGTTTTTTAGATTTCTACTTAGTGTCTTAGTCATTTTCTGTTCCCCTCGTCCTCCCTTGTCTTGCCCCTTATTTTAAAAACATAACGGAATTATCTAATAGAATTGGTTTTCATATGTCGTTCAATATCTGCTAGTTTGATTTGTAAAACTTTGAGGAAGACAGAAGGGTTAAGTATTTTTTAGAGTTTAACTATTTTCTGCTTCCCCCATAATCATCGAGAACTATTTGGAGATCTTTTTAATGGCTTAAATTTTTTT